TAAGGATAGGGGATAAGTGAATTTTGGCACTGATCCTAAGATTATAATTTATTTAAAAAGTCCATTTTTCTCTGTTGATTTTTATCAAAGCCTAGATGACTTACTGAAGTGTGGGGTGACCTTTGCTGCCAACATGGTGGTTGTGGACAAGGAAAGCACCATGAGTGCTGAGGAAGACTACATGGCAGATGCCAAAACCATTGTGAATGTCCAGACACTGTTCAGGTACATATGTGAATAATACAACCCTTCCATTTTCTTTGCGATAAGCATGTGTGAATTATTTGACACTGACTCTGTGTGTGAGGAATCAACATGAGACACTTACCCTCACCTTATGTTCTTTCATTTATTCGTCTGATGACACAAATACTTACAGCCTTTCATATGTGACTGGCACGGCCTAAAGTTAAATGTTTAATGCAGATCAGTAATTCTTCTCTTAAAACAAATAGGATGATATATCTCTTTCTCAGATCGTATAACCATAACAAATTCTAAATAAAAGTTGTGTATAGTAGCAGTCATGATTTGTGACTGGCTATCCATGTTCTAGCTGGTTATGATTTATGCCTGGTAGTGATTAAAGGTATGCATTTATATATGCAATAGGTAGAACTGGAAGATTACAGATCTGTAATTAGGTAATGTATTCACATTTGGAGAAGAGTTGTAAACTTATCCTTACTATTTTCCTGTCTTTCATTTTTAATAATTAAACTCACCCAGATATGAATCCCCTTTCTGGTCTTCTTTGGGTAAGAGTAAGCAGTACTGATCAGAGAGAGGTTCATGTTATAAGTAAAGTAAAATACCATCCATAAACTAAGACATCTACATGCCCTAAAATCATCTGAAAATTTAATAGCAGGTATATCATTCTTTTACTTTTATGGGTTTTCAGAAGCCTAAAGAGAATATGCAAGCTACCGAATTATGAAAGTAAATGAAACACTTTCAACATTACCATCATCCATATCTCTCCACTCCACCTTGATACCTTCATGTTGTAGCAAAGCATACTTACCAAGGTTAACTATCTCAGTTTATAGTTGAATTCACAATTTGGAAGAAAGAACCTAGATTGAATCCCAGAAAATTGCGTACTTTTGATATGATCTTTGAGAAATTATTTTCCTTCTGTCAACCTCAATGTCTAATCACAAGACTATCAAACATTTAAAATATATGCCTTAGCAAACACCTGTTCATTTTTGATTATTTAATGAATATCAGCTATCAGAATTATTAGTAGCAAAATTATCATTTTAATGTAGCAGAGTGGAAAAGACACAGACAGAATGTATGCTAAAGGCTCCAGCAGGCACTTACTAACTTTGTGACCTTTATAACCTCATTCAAATTCAGTTTTCCTCATCTGTAAAATGCTGTGGAAAGTAACTCCCTGAAGATTAGAGATCAGGTACATAAAGAATCTGTTAAGGCACCGGGAAAATCTACTCTGAATTTGAATCAGAACCTCTTGTTCCCAAAGGAAGAATACGTATTCTAAAATTATTATAATGTGTTAGTTCACTTAGAATATACCCAACTAGTTAACTAGTAAGCTGTAATAAATAGTACATTGAAAGGTAGTATAGAACATGTTGAAAGTATTTCAGATAAATATGCAATTTTTTTTCTCTAGTGCATAAAAAAAGGAAATCACAAGGTAGGAAATTAATTCAGGGGTGAAATTTATGCCCAGTGAATAGATTAAAATCATACTTACTGATTCCATGCTTAGCAAAAGCTAATTATAGTTTTAAGAGGAGAGGATCCTCGGTCTTTTAAATTAAACATGCTATTTTAATTTTCAATTTGCTGGGATTTTATTTCTATTATGATGAAGTTCCTATTGATTTGATTTTTATTATACATTCTCTGAATGAATTATTTTGGTTATAAGATATGAATAAATCTCCATCTTACTGAGAAGTGCAAAAGTTCTTACTAGTAAGTTAAAAGAAACAAACTGACTGAAAGTAATCAGGGGCAGACAGGCACGTGCCAAATGACTGCACAAAGGCCACCATCTCTGAGTTCCTTGCTGAGGACGTGATCACCACGTGTTGAATGACTGAATGGATGAATAAATAAATTAATAACTTGAGGTACTTTAGCTCTTAGGATTACCTATCTGAAAAGGTAGGATATTTTAAAACGTATGCAATTTTTAAGGCATACGTGAGTATATAGACTGAAATTTCAAGTAGAATTTTTTTTTTTTTTTGGCAGTTTTAGCTGGGGCTGGGCTTGAACCCACCAACCCCAGCATATGGGGCTGACGCCCTACGCTTGAGCCCCAGGCACCATCCTCCAACAGGATTTTTCAAAAGAACTATTAGACACTTGCAAAGAAATTGCTTCTGTTTTTATCTTTCCTGTGCCTTATAAAAATATTACCATGAAAAATACTCTATGAAACTGTTTTAATGGAGTAAATTATAAACTACTAATCTACATGCACTAAACTAAGCTAGTTTTACATTTTAGATAAAGTAAGTTAGATATCTACAGTATAGGTCCTGATGATATAAGAATATCACTTACACATATAAATGACCTAAATCAAGCAGACTTGAGAGTTTTATTTTACATGTGTAGTTAACTACCATTCTCTGGAATACTATTCTGGTTCCTTAAAGATTTTAATTCCTGATTCACTGTAACTCTTGCCTACCCTGATTCTGCCTTTATTCCTGATTATTTCAACATTCTTGCCTAGATGATCCTTTGAACATCTTACCTTAACCAGGCTTTCTCATGTTCATATATTTGAACTTGAAATATGAATAATTTTCCACTCCAAATTATCAGTTTCTGGCATTTGACCCTCAGAGTAGGGCTACTTTTTATTTCTATCTAATTTTTCCAGTATTTCCAACACATATTTTTATTTATTTATTTATTTTTTGGCCAGGGCTGGGTTTGAACCCACCACCTCTGGCATATGGGGCCTGCGCCCTACCATTTTGAGCCACAGGCGCCACCCTATTTTTTTTTTTGGAGACAGAGTCTCACTTTGTCACCCTTGGTAGCGTGCAGTGGCTTCATAGCTCACAGCAACCCCAAACTCTTGGGCTCAAGCAATTCTTGCCTTAGCCTCCCAAGTATTTGGGACTATAGGCACCCACCACAACACCTGGCTATTTTTAGAGACAGAGTCTTGCTCTTGCTCAGTCTGGTCTCCAACCCATGAGCTCAAGCAGTCCACCCCCCCTTGGCCTCCCAGAGTGCTAGGATTACAAGTGTTAGCTACCATGCTGGGCCTCAAATATTTCCAACTCTTCACAGTCCTTTTATCATATTGGAATCTCTCATCTACCCATCCTACTAACTTTTCATTACCCCTAATCAGCTGAGGGCATTTTTTCTCTACTCACCTAAATCCAATTCCATGATTAATCATCAGTATCACTACTGTGCTGAAACCCTGAATCCGTAAGTATTGATTGTCTACTATAGGCTAACAGAGTGATCAACCCTGTCCCAATTCTCTCTTCCTCCTACTCCCAATTTCCTTTCCTTTTAGATTTTCTACTCACCACCCTGTATTAAATTCCTTAGAGGAATAACACTCCAGAGGTAGGTTCCAGTTATCCTTGCCAGTAAGCATCAGGCAACCAGAAATGGCTAGAAACCAGAAGATTCAGAAATAAAGCTTTGAGCCCCATCCCTGAGGAAACTAAATTCTTACATATTTATTATGCAAAAGTGAGTAGCATCTCTAAAATATCTTAGACAATCCTTATATTTTGAGAAATACCACTAATTTCCTCAATTTTCAGTGGGTTAATCCATGTCCTATGATATTGATAGAACCACTATCACAGAATAGATAATAGAATGGATGAGACATAAACTTTCTGATTAAAAACCAAGTGAGCCACTTGGAGTGCCATCAAAGAACACTATTTGAAACTGGAGTTTAACTTATGCCAACATATGACCTATCACATTGTTTATTCTGAAGCATTTTAAAAGTAAATTAAAGAAATCATAAGCGTCATTCCCTCACCAGAAGAACCTAGACAGGTCTTTCATTGATACCTCACCCTGAGTTTTTACTTCTCTCATGGTAAGATTTCCTTTGTGGGCTCTGAAATAGCCCTTCATAGCATCTAACTTCTCTGGGACAACCTTTAAGCCATAAGTTCCAGATTACCTCAAGAAATAGAGTATCTCTACTCCTTTACTTGGAGAGGCTTCTAGAATCCTAAAACAATTGATTCGCTGTCTTCCCAGAGACCATCCATTTCTACATATCAAAGACACCAAGTAGACAAGTACTTCCTCAAATTAGAATCTCTTGTACTTTCTGTTCCATGGGCCTAAGGGCTTTTATTTACACATCTCATTCAAGTAAGTCTTCCCAGTAGAAAGATCTGCTAAAAAGTGAGAGACTGATTTCCAAATTGGAAGAAAAGTAGGTGCTCATTTTCAAATTTAAATTTCTCTTACTAAAGTTTTACCTCACAGGACACCAATGACAACTGGAAAATTTTATGTGCTTTCATATTTTTATAACAAATACTTCTAAACCAATTCAAACACAATATCAAAATGTACTTTGAATTTAAAACAACCACTTTAAAATGGCTTTGTCAAGTTGACCTGTCAAAATGATATAATCCTCCCACTTTGGGGATCTGAGGAGGGCAGATCATTTGAAGCCAGGAGTTCAAGACCTGGGTAATAGCAAGATCCTGTCTCTACAAAAAGTAAAATAAAAAATAAAAATAAAAAAATAGTGTGGCGTGGTGGTACACATCTATTGTCCCAGCTGCTCAAAAGGCTAAGGCAGGAGGATCACTTGAACCCAGGAGTTTGAGATTGCTGTGAGCTATGCACTCAAGCCCCAGCAAAGAGTAAGATCCTGTCCAAAAATGAAAAAGAATAATAATAACAAATAAATAAATAAATAAATAAAATCCCTACTTTGGGAATGTTACGTCACCAACCCTATCATTATGCCCATTTTATGAATAATGCAACAGTGAGAGAAAATTTAGTGGTTTTTCCTAACTTACGTAGGAAAAATGGCAGAGTCAGACCCACAACTTAGATGTCAGAAACAAGATGAGAAAATTTTCTTCAGGAGTTGAGAAATAAAAGCTTCCCTGGAGAAGATACAGAGTAATATTTAGTATAGAATGGGTACAAAAGTAGATAGTTGATAAATCTGTGTCGCAAAGGTCTGAGAGTGATTTAGTTCAGAAGTT